GATTTTTTAGGTGAGACACAGCGTGCGCTGAACTGAGCCCACCCTTTAATCCTGAGGTTCATCTGCTGGGGCCAAGCAAGCTTGGACAGTGGCAGTGAGGTCCCCAGGACGTAGGTTTGTTTAGAGTGACCTTCTCTTAGATGGATTGCCTTACAGGGCTCCATCTGCCCGGGGGGCTGGGAATCGAACCCGGGTCGCAGCGGTGAGAGTCCTGCACCCTAACCACTAGACCACCAGGGGCCCCTAAAGTTTGTATTAGAGTTGAGAAGTAAGAACACTTAGAGCAGATGAAATAATGTGGGTGTGTGTTCAGAGGGACATCCATATGCAGCAAGAGTCACATGAAGTGTATCTTTGCATTCTTACTGGGTTTGGCTTTTTTTTTGGGCAGCAGGTAATTAAAGGTCATTTACAAACCTTAAAGTCCAAACCAACATCTGAGTCCAGATTTCTGTTCAAAGGAATTTTTACTTATGTCATGGCATTTAAACAGTTCCAGTAATGGTGTTTTGATAATGTTGTATCTGGATCAGCTTAGTAAGATTTACCACTAATACTATGGGATAGTGGAATTTTTTAAAAATTCATTTCTAATTAATCAGCAAGGTATTTCTGTCTTTCTTGAATATAACAGTATTCTTATTTTGGTAGACTCATACCCAGGAAATGATTCATAACCACATTATTATCTACTTCTTTAATTTCTCAGGATAACAGACAACATCCTGGCTATGGCTCGACCCTCAACAGAATTAATTGAAAAGTACAACATTATTGAGCAGTTTGAAAGGTAACAAATTCAGTCATTATTTATTGTAAGCATCACTAGTGTAATTCCTGATCCATTTTCTCTTTCAACATAGATTTGGATTGTTGATAAAGATCCTTTCATTTTAACGCTCTGCAGGTAAAGATTTACTCTCCACTAAGAACAAATGTGTGTTTCAGAAAATAAGGGATAATGAGATTTTGGCTGCATGTAATACTTTGACTCATCTATTCCTTCCTTAAGATATGGCATAAAAACCGTAATTAACCTCCAGCGTCCTGGGGAGCACGCGAGCTGTGGGAATCCTCTGGAACAAGAGAGCGGCTTCACCTACCTTCCTGAAGCCTTTATGGAGGCTGGAAGTAAGTTCCCTCCTGCTGCTCTTCCTCATTAATTATTGACTTTGGCTCTTAAAGGTATTTTTGCTCGAATCCCCGCGTGTTAAAAGTGGCTCTGTAAGAAACGTTGCACAGAATGGGATGTAAACATGAAACTTGGCAAATATAATCAAGAGCAAATAACACATTATTGAAGGTCATGTATTATGTGGAGAGAGACGTAGGGTTTATGTTCAGCTGTTTAAAATAAAGAAAGGACAACAGTTAGTTATATTTTCCTTTTTCTTCTTTGTTCACAATTATATGAACCATTAACGATGGTTCAAGTTCTGGTACAACTCACGTTTTCTTATCTAGACTATAAAAGGTTATTTCATGTGAGGACGAGAGAGAAAGTGCCTCTCTGTAAGAAGCAGGTGTTGACTGAAGAAGTGCTTTTATTTCTAAAAAAGAAAAAATTACCCTCTCCCTATATATAGCTCAGTAATCCTGCTCCAATCACTCAGTTTTGTTACAGCTTTTACATTCTAGCTCAACTTCACTTTGACAATTCTTTGCTACCTTTGTGTATCTTTTAATACAAAAAGAGAAATGGGAAAATAATCTCTTGCAAACAAGATGTAGTCAGATTTTGAGCTCCATTATGCAGTTTTAGGACTAAAATTTATTATTAGTCATCTCTGCATATAGTACTACGCAGTTCACATTCGGCCCGGCAGAAAATCACTGTCTCCTCTCTTTTTCTTTTAGTTTATTTTTATAATTTTGGATGGAAGGATTATGGAGTGGCATCTCTCACTACTATACTTGACATGGTAAAAGTGATGGCTTTTGCCCTGCAGGAGGGGAGGGTGGCTGTTCACTGCCATGCAGGACTTGGGAGGACAGGTATGTGCTCTACTGCAGGGTCAACACAACTGTTTTTGTAAAAATGCCAAAAAGTCCCTCTGTAAATCATTAATAATTACATTCTGTATCATTGCTAGATGTACATCTGTAAAATGGTTAAAAGTGCTTTGTCAAAATGTTCTCAATGGCTAGAGGAGTTCAGTTTTAGTATATTAAAAACAGAAACATGTAAGGTTAGAGAATTTTTTAATCTGTATCACGATTCCATTTCATGCAAATGTGACAGGTGCTTTTGGGTGGGAAAAATTCACCTGGTACACTTTCATTGTCCAGTGTTTATTACACATTCACAAACCTGCCAATCACTGTTAGATCAGGTAGATTCGGCGGAGCAGCTAAAATTCCATTTAATATTTTCAAGTCCTTTTTGCCTGTGTCCTTCCCACAGAAGCCCCCATTGCTCCCGTGTCCACAATGTGATGGAACTCTTGGAGATGCTGTGGTGAGCAACTAGCTCTCACTGGAAGGGTATTGAGAAGGGTTTTACTATCCTGTGGTTCATCAAATGCAACATTAATAAAATAACAGCATCATGTAATGGAGTGTCTTTACCTATATTAATTTCTATCCTATATTTCCACCGAGTATTTGCTTTAGTCTGGCCATTCTTTAACTATTGTATTTTTTACTGTATTTTTCTTTAACTATTTGTATTTTCCAGGTGTTCTAATAGCCTGCTACTTAGTTTTTGCCACAAGAATGAGTGCTGATCAAGCAATTCTTTTTGTCAGAGCAAAAAGGCCTAATTCCATCCAGACCAGGGGGCAGTTACTGTGCATCAGGGAATTCACTCAGTTCTTGGTTCCCCTGCGCAATGTGTTTGCCTGCTGTGAGCCCAAGGCTCACACAGTGACCCTGTCCCAGTACCTGACCCGGCAGAGGCATCTGCTCCACGGCTACGAGAGCAGGCACCTCAAACACGTGCCAAAGCTGGTTTACCTGGTCTGCAAATTGCTGCTGGACTTGGCTGAAAACAGACAGGTGGTAGAGGCGGAGCTGTTGGACATCCCAGACCTCTCAGCTGAGATCGAGAAGGCTGTTTCTCAGTTGGTGTCCACACAGCTCGACCAAGACCTTGCCAGGCAGGACAGCGAGATGTCAGACTCATCCCACACCCACTCCTCTGCTTTTGAGACCCAGGATTCTCATTGCTCCCTGGGTCACGAGTGTGATTCTTTCTGTAAAAGAAGGAATGTCGAATGCCTTCAGCCTCTTACTCATCTGAGAAGGCGTCTAAGCTACAGTGAGTCAGATTTAAGGAGAACTGAGTTTCTTCCAGAACAAGACAGCACTGTCTGGACAGTGCCTGCTCAGATATTGCAGTGCAACAAGCTCAAGCAGAGCAGTGGTGAGGAGTGTTCTGCCCCAGGTGAACCGAAGCCCCCGCTGGAGTTACACAAAGAAGCCTTAGTGCGCAACACGTGCATGTTCTGGAGCCAGGGCAGGTTTAATTTGGACGGACGGAAAGATGGATCCTCGCTGTACCACAGGAGGGGCTCCACCAAAGAAGTCCAGCGCAGCAGAACCTTCTCTTCAGGCCTCGCTTCCATCCACAACGCCAGGGAACCCGGAATGGCGAGGCACAGCTTGGCCAAGGAGGTCGGTCCCAGGAGGGACCGCAAGACTAACATGTATGGCAGGACAGTCTACGCCTCCGAGGACTCCGATTCTTCTTCTTCTTCCAAAGTGAACTTTTCCATTGGCTATGAAAGCCAGGGTAGCAGAGACGTGTCGGAGACAATTCCACACATTATCGTGCAGTCAGAATTAAGTCTGGAAGCCCGAAGAGTTTTGGCAGCGAAAGCACTTGCAGATATGAATGAATTTCTGGAAGAGGATGAAGTGAAGCAGAAGGTAGAAACATGGCAGGTAATTTTTAACTTGATTCCCTGTTAGGGGCTCTGCATATTTCACCTTGGTTAATTCCTAGAATGGCAAAAACACCACGTGGAGCTTTGAAGTGGCACATTGGGACAGCACTTTATGTGTGGTTCAGTAAATAATTGTAGCTGTCAGTTATGGGCCAGCTCTTTCACAGGCTGGCAAAATGCACCTACAACTTCTGGTCTGTAGCAGGAGGGTAGAGACCTCACTTCAGGATGTGTTCCTTCATTTTTCTACCTAGGGAAAATTGATGCCATTATCTGTGCTTGTAACTTGGCTGCTGGTAGCAAAAAATAGCACAGATTTTAAGGTAGACCTGTGTTGGTTTTCATCAGTGCTTTCTCAGAACTAATCAGAGGACTCTGTGAGTAAAAGAAAAAGAATTTAGTAGAAACTAAATTGCTTATCCTCGGAACCAAATCCTCCCAGCAACATTTGCTTTGAAGTTGGAATGCAAAGCTGGTTTATGTGTTCCAGTAGAGTACTGGGAGGTTCTCAGCTGCACTGTTTATGTCATCCTTCCACTTTAAAGAATCACTTGTGTTACTGCTGATTAATGTTGATACTTTGGAAAAAAAAATTCTTTTGGTAACTTTTTAGTCTTTTCCTGTTGAAACATAAGCAGCCAAGTACTGCTACGGTCAAAGGGAAGGTTGGCAGTGGTAAATAGATGATGCATTTCCAGTTTTGTTTTGCTTTCTTTTGTTTTAAGAAAGAACTGAATTCTCGAGATGGAGCTTGGGATAAAATCTGCACCGAGAGAGATCCTTTTATCCTCTGCAGCTTGATGTGGTCCTGGATAGAGCAGCTTAAAGAACCTGTTATATCCAAAGATGATGTTGACATGCTGGCAAAAAATTGCACAGAATCACAGGAAGCACTCTACTTGCTGAGAAAGGTAGATATTGGATCTGTCAATTCATTCTTTAACTTTGGGAAGGGAATTACACTTTTAAAAAGCCCTTTAAAAATCAGGGTGAGAATTCATTCTGTATGGAATAGTAGGAGTTGTAATCAATACTGTGGTGATGAATATTGCAAGAAAAGTACCAGACACAGTCCTTGAACTCCATCCAGTAGCAGCTCAACTTCAGCACATTTCCCTGCAAATTCTGCACCTGGAGATCCAGAGGCAAAGATGAGAAACCTTTGCTCTGTGACTCCATGGATGTCTTTTGTTGTGTCACATCTGGCAGCTGTACTTTATGCTTGTCCTACTTGCTGTGCAAACATCTTAATCTGGCAGCTTTGGAAGAGCTGGGGCAAGGAATAGGAAGAATCTGCTAATTCAAAGAAGCAGAAGCCAGGCCTAATTCTTCTACAGAAGTTAGAACTGTGGCCACCTGTGTTGTGAAATCCCTATGATAAATAGGTACTTGTGACCCAAACTGTTTAATTGTGCTTTCCCCAAAGGGAAAATAAATTTACAAGATAAATTTACAAAAGTAAATTAAAAAATAAATAAAATTCTCCATTCTTGATCTCTTAACTATACAAATTAATTTCCTAATTTGTTGTGAATTCTTTGTTTCTGAAGTATTTTTGAAGAAAATAGAGCCCCTTTTACTTTTCCAGATACCCAAAAATACAGCTACTAATCAAGAGGTGGTCAGAACTTCATGTGCAGTTACCATCTTCATGACATGACATTCAGAGTTCCCAAGTTTATCTGAAAACATCATGTTTCTTCCTCAAGAATTCTTCCACTCTATCAGAGCTTTGACTTTCTATTTATATTAAATAAAAACTGCTTGGCACCTGCTATAAATGATTGGGAAAGGAATAATAATTTTATCTTTCCTTATCTCATCCTGTATTATTTCAGAATCCCACAGGAGCTGTGTTGGCAGGGACCTCTGGACATCTTCTGGTCCAACTGTCTTGCTCAAAACAGGGTTGCCTAGAGCAGGCTGCTTGTATGGCAGATGCTCCAGTGTCTTAATTAAGGATGCTCTTAAGCTGGAAAAGGGATGGGAAGGAGCAGCCACAAAGATCTGTTGCTCCCTTTATGCATCCTTGCTCAGGAGTCTCCCTGCCAGCTTCCTTTAGTGGTTATGGACACTTGGAAGGACAGAGAGAGATGCAAGATCATCCTGAGTTAGATGGGGAAGGAGCCCTAAACATGGCATTTTGGGCTACAAAGATGAAATCTCACCTATTCTATGCCAATTGACATGAACGTTAATGTTCATGGAGGGGATCTTGAAAACTAAGTCTCCAGATGCACATCTGACCTCCTGGAGATTCCCAGAGCAGTTTGTGGTACTTGAGAGGAGTTTTTTTCCATTGCAATGAAATAATTATGTAGAGGCTCTTTGGGCTTGTGGGAATTCCCTCCCCAGTTCCTGCACCTGAAGGTTTCAATACAGGAAGGCACAGCCTGATATTTAAACAGCAGTTAACAAAACCTGAATGTTAAAATGTTTTTCATGGAAATATTTCTTCTAATGAGCTGCTGTTCTTTCACCCACCAGGAGCAGTGTCAGACTATCCTTTGTATTTTACACTGTGTGGTGAACTTGCAGATGCTGCCAGATGATGTGGAGGAGGCCTTACTTGCTCGTGCTATTAAAGCTTTCACCAAGGCAAGTAACCTTAAATAAATGTCCATGGCATTGTATTTACTTGGTTTAAATCACAGAGGGCTCTGTGAGAAAAATTACAGTAATTCCTTCACACTTATTTAGTTCAGAGTTTACATTTTATAATAATCAGCCTACATAAAGGGTAGCAAATATTCTTAACAAAATAAAACTCTGTCACTACAGCCTTAATCCCTGAGTCTCCTTTTTCTCTTTCTGGACCACTGCCAGTTCATGGGCATCTGCAAATTAGGGAAAAGATCATTTTTAAGTGGTGAGACTAACTAATCAGAGGGAGTAATTTACCAAAGGCTTTGGTAGGTTCTGTGCTAGAAGTCTTTCCATCAGATTAAACCATTTTCTGAAATTACACTGCAATCCAGTTCTGTTTCAGACCTGTAATGCAGGATGTGGATAATAACTTCTGCTTTTGGGATCATCCAGTAACAGTGCCAGGTGAAGCTGTTGCTCAGCTCAGAGCTGCTTTCTTTGCAGTTCAGCCAATGCAATTTGAATTTGAACAGAATGTTCACCATTGCTGCTTCCTAATCTCTTATGTCACCTCTTAAAAGTCATGACATTTCTCCTGCTACTAGTTTATTTCAGTGTCTAGTCAGCATAAAACTGAAAACACTTAGCATGAAGCACTCCACCATCAAACACATACTTTCTCTGATAAATCTCAAAGCCACTTTTTAAAATGTTGGGCATCTCCTTTGGGTTTTGCTGTGTGATATCTACTTAACAACTGAACTTTTTCTCTTTTATTAGACAAGCTTCGATTCTGAAAATGGACCATATGTTTACAGTACCTTGAAAAATGTGTTTAAACAAACACTGGAAGAAAAAAGGAAAAGGATTAAGGAAGGAATAGAGAATCCTTCTTGATTTCTACAAGCTCTGCCGAAGCATTAGATGGGCCTACCAAATTATTTTGCATTTTCCAGCTACTGTATTTTGTGCTACCTGGCATGATCTACCTAACTTTAGGTAATAGTTATTAACAAATAATTTTATTTTTTTAGAGGGAGTTTTAGTGACAGTTGTTCAATCTACACAGTTTTAAAGAAGAGCTCCTGTGTGACCATCCTCTGTAGCATTTGGTTTTCAGGCACTGTGCTTTTATGTTGTGAAGGGTTCTCCTGTTCTCAGATGTGCTTATTGATTTAGAAACCTCTGTTGTTGGCAAGAAACATTATTTTCAAGTTACACCATTGCCATAAGTTCAGTGCCATGATACACAAAGGTTTGATGAATTGAGTTAATATTTATGGATTACATATGTTTACATTAATGTAAATTTCATTTTACTTTGCAGAAAATAAATATTGGCTGAACCATTGAAACTGCTTTTCCTTTTAGAAATTTTAAAATAAGGCAAAGAGTAATAATGGGCAGATCTCGAGGTCTGCTATTGACAGCAGGCAACATTTTCCTTTAGATCTCTCAAATAACTGTAACCAATGTGTTTCTAAAAGGTGTTGCAGGAGAGAAACACATTGTGTTGAGTGTTAGTTATCAAGCCTTTAATTTAGACTTTTTCTGGCTAAGAAAGCTTTAAACAGTTCTTAACAGGAAATTGACTGTGGCAATTTAAGTGCTTAGAATAAGAGTAAAACGTTACCTTATTAGCTAAACTTTTATTGATCTGAAATGAAAAACCACTTCATTGTGAAATCTTAATAAGGATATAATTCTGTCCATACTCATGTTCAGCAAAAACTTGCATAAATAAGTGTAACATAATAATACTAAAAATAATTAATCAAAAACTTATTATCTGCAATACACTTTGTAGAGACCTTTTTATCTAATAAGACAGAAACAAGTGGAACATCATCATAACTGCAGTTTTGGATTACAGCCTTTGGCTTTGGACTGGAATGCCAGTTTGCAGGATCAGCAGTTTATCCAGTTTGATATATTTAAGTAGTTAAACAAGAATCTGTCCTTTTCTGAAATATTTTTATTCATTAATGTAAATGACTAATATTTAGAGATAAAAATAGAGCGGTTTGAAATAGATATAAATTATACATGCTTCAGCTCTTGCATGATTTTATATGAAATTCAGATCCATACAAGTACTTTGGCAGAATCATCCTAAAATAAGCACACTTGAAAGGAAAATATCACATGTGAATCACATACACAAACCCAGCTTTGTAAAGAGGGAAGGCAACATGACAAGCAGTTTCACATTAGCATGCCTTAGCAGTCAGGCTTGGGAACACTAAAATGCATTTGCAAGTGTCTTAGTTTCCCAAGAAATTCTTTGAGTTTATTACAGTTAACAGCTCCAAAGAGCCAGCACCAATTCCTGGTGCTGTTTACTTTAGCTGTGTGTTTTAGCTTTTTATTTCTACACCCCAATACACTCGGGGTGCAGAAACCAGGTCAGTTTTGTGTAAGTCAGTGTAATGAACAAGGGCTTTCACAAATCATTAGCTCCAGCTAGAATAACCTTTCTGAAGTTAATGTCAGGTGTTGGCATTCGAAAAATTACCGACACACAGCCCGTGTAAATGGTAGTGTAGGACTGGGCACTTCTTTATTTAGTACGTTTTTTGGTTCACTGACAAGTGTGTTTACAATTATGGCCAAACTGGACACCACATCTGGTGGAACCCATCATGGATAAAACCAAAAATAGGCCATCTGAATGAATAATCAAACCTAAAAACTTTAGTAGCAGCCTCTTAATTAATTTGTGACCCAAGTGATGCAGATCAAGGTGACCCAATTGTGCCTTCCGGTACCTGAAGGGAGCCTACAAGAAACATGGAGAGAGACTGTTTATAAGGGCTCCAAAGTGACAGAAAATAGGTTTAGATTAGATAATTAGGAAGAAGTTCTTCCCTGTGAGGGTGGGGAGGCCCTGGCACAGGTTGCCCAGAGAAGCTGTGGCTGCCCCATCCCTGGAAGTGTCCAAGGCCAGGTTGGACGGGGCTTGGAGCAACCTGGGCTAGTGGAAGGTGTCCCTGCCCATGGCAGGGGGTTGGAATGAGATGGTCTTTAAGGTCCCTTCCAGCCCAAACCAGTCTGTAACTCTGTGATGATTCTATTAAATGTTTAAACAGCAAATACTCCTTGTCACTTCCTCATACACAGCTCTGTGGGACAGCCTTGCACCTGTGGGTGGTGTGTGGGCAGATTTCTCCTCACACTCATCAGGAGCACTGCCTTGCATGCTGACACTCAAATCCTCACCAAATCCTGCTGCACCAGGATGGCAATGGGCCAGCAGCAGGATGGGACAGGAGGACCCAGCCTGCCTCTACTGCTTTCTCTGTTCTTCCACAAAATTCCTCTCCTGTTAGAAGGTCACCTCCATACCAGCAGCAGCCTCCCGTGAAACAACTAGTGCAGTAAATCACTGAAAACTTGCTATCTCTATTGAGACTTTCCCTGAAGTCACATCAGGATCTTTGGATCCCCAACCTTGCCTTACAGGACAAACCCCTCTGCTGCTGCTGTGCTGTCCATCTCCGTAACCACAGGGTTCCTCTTTCTTGATCCTCTCTTGCCTCAAGTCCACCAGCCAGCTCACTTCTGATGTGTGGTAAGATATGGTAACTACCAAAATACCACTAGAAGAACCCTGAATAGGAAAACATGCCAGTCACACCCTTTGGAGCCAAATGCCTCCTTCTGCAGTGCTTGCCCTCGTGCTCTGCCACCTCACTCACTGGAGTGTGACTCATACACTGCAGCCTAAAGTTAGGTTTTTGCAACATTTAAATAGCTGTACGTGGCAGGACTGCTGAGGATAAATTACTACAGAAGTAAAAAAACTGTGTGCACCATCCCAGGCCAGAGATGAATAGGCCCAGGAATTTTGGAAAGGTAGCAGAGCAAATAGAACTGTGTAAAACCCAGCTGAAAATAAAAGGAGGAAATGGCAAAGGAGTTGTTTGTACAGTTTGGGGGGGGGTGTTTATCTTGTGCACAAAAGGAAATCAAAAACCTCCCCACCCCCAAAAAGATTGGAAATGTGGAATATACTCCATAGTAGGGTCTCAGACCTCTGTAACCTTAAAACAATTTTATCATGCTGCGACAATAACAGCTTGAGCCAGTGCCTCTGAGGAGGGACCCTGAACAAAGAACACCCTGGGCTTTCATACCCTCACAGGGCTCCTGCTGTGTGTGAGTGTCCCGTCACCTGGCTGGTGTCACAGGGCCAGCCTTCTGCTGAGCCCTCCCTCTCATACAGTCTTAGGGTCTGTCAAATTTGGCTTTTCACTCTGATGCACCATCAGAACCACAAGAGCACATTGTCCCTGAGGATGTGAAAATCCCAGAACGTTCCTGTTGCATGATACCCCCAAAAGCAGACCAAGGGTCTGTACAGATGTTGACTCATTTCCCTCTTCCCAGACATGCTGCACACATCAAAGCTGCTATTTCTGCTCCCTGGGCACAGTTCTGCTTCTGTTCCCTGTCTCTGGCTCCCCACAGCACACCCAGCTCCACACCATCCTTGGAGGGAGTAGGATGAACCATCTGTGAATAGAACTCTGGGTTATGTGAGGGAGCATCCCTTAAATCAGTCCACAGTTCACCTGAAATGTGCATCACTTGCTCATACTGCTGGTGCTCTCCTCCCTCACCACATATTAGGCTTGCTGGATTCAAGATGTTGCATCAAGTCCTATCTATGTGCCCGTTGTGGCTTGGGCTGTTGCTGCTGCCCCTCGCTGAGCACAGGCTGGATCCAGTTGACTGATCTCTCATGGGCTCCTCATTTCTGTGTTACCACTCCACAGGTGATCCCATATCTATTAGTTCTTGGTCGCCTCAGTCCAAGGTTTAGTCGATTCCCCCCCAGGCCAGAAGTCCATGGCCAACAAAATCCCATAGCTCTGAGAAAACTTTGTACCTGCTTTTTGTGACTGGACGTGGGAGCTTAATTATGGCCTCTCTTTCTTCTGGATCTATCATTCATTGCCCCTTTCCTAAAATGAAGCCTAAGTATTTAACCTTTCTTTTGGCAGAGCTGAGGTTTGGGTGGAGATGCAGCTGTTCCCTGTTTCCAGGGCAATATGTTTAGTACACAGGCGATCTCGTCTCAATTTGCTAATGACAAACGTCTGCATGAACCAACTGTACAAGAAGCGATTCACTCAGCAATTTTATACCTCAGTTCCAGTGCATTCAGTGCCAGACTTCTCCGCAGATTCAACAGGCCTAACCTTCTACCACCTGAAGGCCACAACAATTTGGGGTCTCTCCTAACTTGTGCAGGGGGCTGTGGTCTCTCACTTGGCTCACAGGGATACTTTGGGGTCTCTCCTAAGGCGTACAGGGGGCTGGGGTCCCTCGTGTGGTTCACTGGGATATTTTGGGGTCTCTCCTAAGGCGTGCAGGGGGCTGGGGTCCCTTGGCAGGCACGCAGCAGGGTTAAACTTCAGGGGGTTTCTTGCTGTTCTTCCCATGCCCGGCTCTGAGTCGAGGCTGTGCTGAGCTGGGAGCAAATGTGCCATCCCTGCTCTGCCCGGGCTGCTGGAACAGCGGGCGGGCCCATCCCATCCCATCCCATCCTATCCCATCCCATCCCATCCCATCCCATCCCATCCCATCCCATCCCATCCCATCCCATCCCATCCCA